ACTTAAGCTAAGCAACGTTGAGCGTGGTTAGTACTTGGATGGGTGACCGCTTGGGAACACCACGTGCCGTTGGCCTCTTTCTTTTGTTTTTTTTTGTCTCGAGCCATGCGTCTATGCTTAATCCATTTTACAAGTTGTTAATCTTTCATTGTCCATCATTCGTCAGATCATTCTTCTTAAGGGGTGAAATAATCGGACGGTCGTACAACCAACTTTTAACATGCGTTCACAATATTCATTTACAGACTTTCAGCCAACAGTCATATCACGTTGAATACGGGAATTACTTTAAAGGACCTGGCCAGCGTTTTAACTACAACTGATGGTGATATTAAAAATAGATTTAATTTGAAACAGTCGAAAGATTCGAAATACGTTTCTATTTTCGCAACAGATACAGCTTTATATAACTCTTTTAAGGAATTATTAATGAAGAAAAAAATTAAATTTTATACGTGTACCCCAAAAAATGAAAAAGTAAAAACAATTGTCTTAAAAAATCTGTATGGAAACTTTACTCAAGATGAAATTCTCAACCAATTAAAAGATCTTAATTTACATAACACTGATATCATAAATGTCTCAAAAATTTCTTTTAGTAAGACATTGAATCATTTTGGATTTCTTGTTCAACTCTCCCCTGAATGGAACATTTCTGAAATCATTAAAGTAAACAGTTTCGGTCATTCTAGTGGCAGTTGCTCACTGGATTTCCGTTGCGTTAAATGCAGCGAAGATCACGAGCATGGTAAATATCTTCTCAGTAAAGACTCTAACAAAGCACTATTAAAATGTGCAAATTGCCAATTAAATGGTCATCCAGCGAGCTATAAGGGGTGCCCATATTATAATAAAGCGTCAGAAAGAATTATCGCTAATCAACAAGCGATCCTTAGAAATAGATGAATAAAATTAAAAAAAATCAGCAAAAGAGTTTCTCCCAAGTTATCTTTTGCAGAAGCTCTTAACCCGAGCATTCCACATAACCCACCACCATATGTTCACAATCCTCTAACTCATTATATACATGCGAACTCAAATATTCGAAATTCACAAGATCTCGAAAACTCTGCGCAAATCGTTGATGCATTAATCCCCTCGTGGGTTATACAAGTGCAAAGAGAAATAATTACTGCTATTTCATTTTCAATTGAAACTTCAATCGAACCAATGAGAAGCCAGCTCGATCTAACTAAAAGAAATATATAGAAAATCTTAAATCATCTTAAACTTAATGGGGACGAGACTTACTTTTCATTGATGGATTAAACATAATCACTATTAATGTTGACTCCATAGTGAGATTGCAGAGAAGATTCTTTCCTGTAATCCTTTTTAGACATACATAATGTAAAGATTGCATTAATTAGTGGAATCAAACTGAATAAAAATCATCGAATTATGCACCTTAGAGTCTGCAATATAGAGGAGGGAGGGGGGGGGGCGACGGATGGGTGCTGAAAAGAAAATTGCATCCCCCCCTCTCTCCACTCTTTTCTTCAATAGACAATAAAAACTTATTAAAAATAAGGAACAAAGGAACGAAATAGGATTAAAACAATTTAGATCTAATAGAGAATTTTTTAATGTAATTTGTTATATGACAACATCAATTGTTCTTCTTTTTTGTCTTTCCGCAACTACAATTGTGCTTTTTTTCACTGCATCATAGCGAACAAAATTTATTCTTTTAGCAGAAATAGTTCTATAATAAATACAAGATGTAAATGTAATTTACTTAAAAAATCTCGGAGTAAAAAAAGTATACGTAATACTGACACCACCATACCATAAGACCCTGAGAACTTCTACAGGCCACATGGTTGATGTATATTTAAATATCTAAGAAGCATTGTTTTTTTATACTAGTTTTTTAAGGTTGCATATAATGTACATACTTATTGTTTAATTAAAAAAAAACTTGCTTAAACAAAAAAAATCACGTTGAATACGCAAATTCTCGTCCAATCACCTATCTTACTTGCGATTACTTCCGATTATCCGATTACTTCTCGTACTTGGATGGGTGACCGCTTGGGAACACCACGTGCCGGTGGCCTCTTTCTTTTGTTTTATTTATTCAGAATGAGGCGTCTATGTTTAATCTATTTGCCACGCAGTTAATTTTCCATTTTCCATTATTGGTCAGACCATTCTTCTTGAAACTGAAAATAATTGGACGACGATGCGTCAAACATTTAGAATGCGTCAACAATATTTATTTACAGACTTTCAGCCATATCGTAGCAATAACCTTCCTAAGCAACGTTCATCAGTGCATCAATAATCAAATACAACTATATGACACACCTCCAACAATAATTAATTCGTCATACACTAACATAAATACGCCAAAGAAGGTGTACAATAAAAAGCTTAGCCCAAAAAAAAGACCGCGCCTTCGCTCAAGACCCACGGTAACCGGTCAACTAGCATAGAGTGTTGAAGACAAAAACACTCAAAAATAGCTAGCAGACAGAATCACAATTCAATATGGTTAGTACTTGGATGGGTGATCGCTTGGGAACACCATGTGCCGTTGGCCTTTTTTTTGTTTTTTTTTTAAATTTAGAATTATGCATCGATCTTTAATCCATTGTACAAGCAGTTCATCTTACATTCTCCATGATTAGTCAGATCACTCTTCTTAAAAGTTGAAATAATCGGACTGTGGTACACCCAACTTTGAAGATGCGTTTACAATATTCATTTGCATACTTTCAGCCAACAGTCATATCACGTTGAATACGCAAGTTCTCGTCCGATCACTTAAGCTAAGCAACGTTGAGCGTGGTTAGTACTTGGATGGGTGACCGCTTGGGAACACCACGTGCCGTTGGCCTCTTTCTTTTGTTTTTTTTT